AGACCAGGGGTTCCCAACCTTGTTTTTGGACCCCAGCCTTTCTGTCTGATAGGAAAAGAAATAAATTCTAGAGTTTATTTCAATATGCATATTAGAAATTCTAGAGTTTATTTCAATATGCATACAAATTCATTTCAATAAGATAATATAGTTATTTACCAAATATTACCTTAATAAGCTTTTTAGAACAAGGTGGCACGTGGACAGAGTGCTAGAACTGGAGTCAGGAAGGCCTGGATTCTAATCCAGCCTCAGACACTTGCTGAGCGAGTCACTCACCCTCTCCGTGCCTCAGTTCCCTCATCTGTAAAATGAGGATAATAATAGCAGCTACCTCACAGGGTTGTTTTGAGGACCAAGTGGAATATTTGGAAAGCTCTTTGTAGACCTTTCATTGCCATATAAATGTGAGTTATTATTATGACTGTTTTGCTCAGACCTTCTAGGAGTATATAGACCTCAGACTGGGAAGCCCTAGACTGTGTGATGATCTCTAAGCTCTCTCTCAGCTCTAAGGCCTATGAGCAGAGATCTCTCTTGGGAGAGTGGAAAGGAATCCAATTCTGCCCCAGACTCAGAGGACTGCAGTTAAAGGGACACCAGTGGGGGCGTAGTTGAAAGGAAACTGGACGCAGAGTCAGAAGACCTGAGTTCAAATCTAGATTCTGACACCTGTTAGCTGGCTGACCTTGAGCAAGCTGCTTCTCTTCTCTGAGACTCGGTTTCCTCATCTGTAAAATGAGGGACTGGACACAATACCTGCAATTCCCCTCCTTCCCAGGGCATTTGGCGGAAAGTCATTTGTAACCATGAAAGAGACATAGACATAGAAGCCAGTTACTCTCAAACCCCCCACCTCCCTGCTAGCACCTTCTCCCGAAAGCCAGTCTCCCAGGAAACTGCTCCCCCCAAGTCATTCCCCAGAGAGAACTCATCACACTCTCGTGATAACGAGTGCCAGAAAGCTCCCCACACCACCCCCACAGCAACTCCATCTTCCCGGCAGCCTGGGGAAGGAAGGCAGGAAGGCAGTCTTGATGCTAAGCACAGTTGGTGAAGCTGAGCCCTGGGAGGTAAGTCACACAAGTAAGCCAGACACAGAGCTCCGTCCCCAGGCATATGCTAGCTTTCCTTCAGGCAGCCCCCACAGCTGCCTTCTACACGTTCTGCTGCTGTAACAAGACCAGGGGCTAGCCTGGTCTGAGCTCAGTCCTCTCTCCAGGGGCCCCACATCCTGCCCCACCCTCCCCCTCAGCTCCATTGGCTGAGCAAGGACTCTCCCAGAGGGGCTATTAACTCATTGTGCGACATTGAGAAATGCCTTCCCTTCTTGGACCTCAGTTTCTTCATTTGTAAAATGGAAGAGCTAAATCCTATAACTCTATGTTTCTATGAATGTGTGACGAGCTCCTCCCCCTGTCCCTTCCCCACTACTCAGATGTTGTGAAGGGTAAAAGGGTGGCTCCTGATGATAAGAAAGCTCTCAATGGTCAACCGGGCTTCCCGTAAGCATCTCCGCTGTCCCCAACTTCCTCCGCTGCCTTTCACTGACCCCTCAATGCTCCCCACTGCCTCTAACCCATTCTAATGACCCCTAATACCTCCCACTGCCTCCCAACGTTCCCCCCATAGCCTCTAATACCCCTTATTGATCCCCAAAACCTCCTCTGCCCCCAACCTTCCTCACTGCTCCTCATTAACCCCCCAACACTCTCCAACCTTTTCCCACTGACCCCTAATACCTCCCACTGCCCCCAACGTCCTCTATTGCCCCAGTACCCTTTATGGATCCCCAAAACCTTCCTCACTGACCCCTCATTGACCCCCAATACTCTCCAACCTTTTCCCACTGACCCCCAAAATCCCCACTGCCCCCAGCACAACTCACTGATCCCCAACACTTACCACTGCCCTTTCCATACCCTTCCCCAATTCCTCATCATTTTATCCACCCCCAGTACTTCCCACTAACTCTTCAACATCTCCCAATGGTCCCCATCTCCTCCCCTTCACCCCCATGCTTCTAAGTACCACCCATACTCGCATCCTGTGCTCTTCCAAAAGCCTGTTGCTGTGGGATTGGTCTCTGTCTCCCTCTGGTGGCCGAGTTGGCCGTACTGTTAGAGGGCCCTGAGGAGGCCATCAGAGCGTACGCTGCTGAATCTATGGGGATGTCAGCTTCCTTCCAGTGTGCAGGTGGAAGAGGGCTCAGAGACTGCTAAGGAGTTCACCCACTGAGGTCTCCACACCACACAGGGAGTTGATTGTGCCATGTTGGGGTAGGGAGACCCAAGCTCTGCCCTCAGGGAGATCCCGATCTGGATTGACTCAGACAGGGACGGAACAACTGGGCAGAGGTGTGGTGGAAACGACATAACTTTGGGAGCCAAAAGTTGGGTTCAGATGTCAACCCCAGCACTACTTACCTACAAGACCTTAGGCCAATCCCTCCCCCTATCAGGTCCTGAGTTTCGTTATCTTTCCTCATAGGAGAGGAGGTGTGCTGCGGTGGATAGAGTCAGGAAGATCTGAGTTTGAATTCAGCCTCAGAAACCTGTAACCTATGTGACCCTAGGCAAATCACTTAACCTCTCTGGCCTCAGTTTCCTCATCTGTAAAATGAGATGGTTGGACTCAGTGACCTCTAAGATGCATTCAAGCTTTAAATCTAGGAACCTGTGGTAAAATGAGGGGAGAAGGGAACCTCAATAGCCCTTTCCAACTCTGAAACCTCTGAACTCTGAAGCTGGTGCCCTCTAGGTGGGAGTGAGCATGGAAGGCTGCCTAGAGGAGATGGCACACCCAGAGTAAGAGGTTGGCCAGGAATAATAATAGCAACAACTATAACATGCCCATTGCTACCTCTGTGGCCTTGGGCAAATCACATCACCACCTCATTGTTTATTCATCCGTTTCCTCTTTGGTTCTGTGATGAGGATTGGATTAGATGATGCTTCCCGCCCTAAGTCTCTGCTCCTCAATCTCTGATCCCAATGCTTTTTTTTTTTTTGCTTTTTGGTGAGGCCATCAGGGTTAAATGACTTGCCCAGGGTCACACAGCTAGTAAGTGTTAAGTGTCTGAGGCTGGATTTGAACTCAGGTCCTCCCGACTCCAAGGCCAGAGCTCTATTCACTGTACCACCTAGCTGCCCCACCAATGCTTCTTAAAGGAGTTTTAATCTGTCTGGATGTAGAACACAGGGCCTCTTCCATTTGTAAATGGTCTTCAAGAATAACTGTTATTCGGGAGACAAGGTGGCACAGTGGATAGAATGCTGGGCCCGTAGTCAGGAAAACCTGAGTTCAAATCCAGCCTCAGACACTTATTAGCTGGGTAACCCTGGGCAAGACACTTAACCCCGTTTGCCTCAGTTTCCTCATCTGTAAAATGAACTAGAGCAGGAAATGGCAAACTGCTGTACTATTATCGCCAAGGAAAACCCCAAACGGGGTCACAAAGAGTCTGACACATCTGAACAGCAATCTTGTCAGGATGTAGACCTCAGGACCCCCCCTCCTCCTGCAGTGCCTGATGGTGGGCTGCTGTGACCTTAGCTAGGCTGGTCCTTGGATGACAGATATGGACTCTGTCACTGAGCCCAGGCTTGAAGCCAACCCAGCTTGGTAAGAGGTGCCTGAGCTAACAGTAAGAAAGATTTTTAGAAGGACAGAGGGTGTTCTATCATAGAAGGAGAGATCTCAAGGGGGAAGGCACTCAGTGGTCATGCTGTCCAACTTCCTCCTTTTACAGATGTGAAAACAGAGGGACAGAAAGTTAGTCACCCCAGGTCACACAGCAAATGGTAAAGCTGAGAACCAAACCCAGTAAGGTTCAGACATTATCATCCTCATGTTATATATGAAGAGCAAAAATCCCATAGAGGTGAAATGATTTGCTCAAGGTCACACAGCTAATTGAGGAAGGGGTTGGGAAGGGCATAAGCACTTACATGAGCCCTACTATGTGCCCCTACTATGTACCTACTAGGTGCTTATCGGTGCTAAGCATTTTATAAGTAATGTCTCATTTGAGACTCACAATAGCTTTGGGAGGTAGATGCCATTATTAACCCCATTTTAAAGTTTAAAAAACTGAGGCAAACAGAGGTTGAATGACTTGACCAGGGTGATAACAGCTAGCAAATGTCTGAAGTTGGATTTGTTCTTGACTCTGGACTCAGAGCTCCCTCCACTGCACCACCTTGCTACCTCTAGGCAGACATTCTTTCTGTTACACTTTTAGGTTAAAGTTTGCTACTGTTCTGAGAGGCAGGTAGTACAGTCATTATTTTCCCTATTTTTCAGGTGAGGAAAGTAAGATTCTGAGACATTAAAGAGCAAGGAAAAGAGGGAATTTTAAAACAACTCTCAGGTTTTATGTCATGCCTTTCAAATTGGCAAAGATGACAAATGATGAAAATGGTATATGTTGGAGGGGTTGTGGGAAGATAAGCTCACTAATACATTGTTAGTGTAATTGCAAATTAGTATAACCATTCAGGAAAACTATTTGTTTGGTTTTTTTGGGGGGGGGGGTTAGGCAATTGGGGTTAAGTGACTTGCCCAGGGTCACACAGCTAGTAAGTGTCAAGTGTTTTGATCTGAGCCCAGATTTGAACTCAGGTCCTCCTGACTTCAGGGCCAGTGCTCTATCCACTGCGCCACCTAGCTTCCCCCAGGAAAACAATTTGAATCTATGTTCAAAAAGTAACAAAATTGTGCATACCCTTTGATCCAGAGATACTGCCTCTGGACATACACATTAAGGAGGTATAAAACAAAAGGAAAGTCCCATATATACACCAATGTTTTCAGCAGCATCTTTTGTAGTAACAAAGAACTTGAAAGAAAGAGGGAGCTCCCAGGGCCCAGCTTGGGGAGGGTGGTTGTCTGGGGCACACGAGGGCTGAGCAGACCTGCCGAGGTCCCCAAGGAAGGGGTTCTCCTTTGCCAAGGCAGGACCTGAGCTCTCTCTGTGCCTGTGTGCCCAAGGCTGGGCCATGGGGAAAGGAAGCAGCAAGCTGGCCCCGGAGGTGTTGGAGGACCTTGTGCAGAGCACGGAGTTCAGTGAGCAGGAGCTGAAACAGTGGTACAAAGGCTTCCTGAAGGACTGTCCCAGCGGCATCCTCAACCTGGAGGAGTTTCAGCAGCTCTATGTTAAGGTAAACCTCCTCCCTCCTGCCCTTCTATCTTTCCCTGCCTGGGCTTCTGGGCCGTGGATGGAGGTCCCCCACGGTTAGCTGGGTCAAAGTCTAAGCCCCTGAGGACTCATGCCTATGAATCCCAAGGGAGAGGGTCCCTACCCAAAGGGGGCAGTGCTGGGGCCTTCCCTGTGGTGGGAGGTGTTACACAGATCCTACCTGGAGGCCCTCTCCATTCTCCCTCTTCTCTTCTGGGAGCCAAGAGCTCACCTGATCCCCAGTCTTTCCCTGCCCTGGAAGTGTAGGTGGCCTTGTGCTTACCTCCACCATACCCCAGGAGGCTGGGGTGGGAGGGTGATGGAGTGGGGAACCCTAGGGACATGTCTAGTGGCACCTAGGCCTGCAGTTTCAGGTTGCTCCCACCAGGACCCTGGGTTTCAATTTTTTAAAAATTGTTTTATATTTTTTCAATTAATGAACTATTTTCTCTCCTTGACCCTAATGAAAAAGCCAAAAAAAAAAATCCCTTGTAACAAATACATACAGTCAAGCAAAGCAAATTTCTTTATTGGTCATGTACAAAAATATCTATGTCTCATTCTGCTCCCTAAGCTGATCACCAGTCTTTCAGGAGGTGGGTAGCTTCAGGTCTCCTGAAATCATGGCTGGTCATTGCATTGATTGGAATTCTTAAGTCTTTCAAAGGTTGTCTTTACAATGTTATTGTTATAATATAAATTGTCCTCATAGTTCCACTCGTTTCTCTACGCATCAGTCCCTACAAGTCTGCCTTGGGCTTCCCCCCCCCCCCCCCCCCCGCGCCCTGGGTCACTTCTGACCCTGCCTCAGTCCTCTGCTCTGCTTCCTGTTCCCTCTCTTCTCTCTACTTTTCCCTTATGGTGTGTGGCTCCCTGTCCCCTTCTTTTCCTTTCCCCCCAACTCTTCCTCTCTCTCCTTGATCTAGTTTTTCCCATATGGTGATGCCTCTAAGTTTGCCCAGCATGCCTTCCGCACCTTTGACAAGAACGGGGATGGGACCATCGACTTCCGGGAGTTCATCTGTGCCCTGTCGGTCACCTCTCGAGGCAGCTTCGAGCAGAAACTCAACTGGGCCTTTGAGATGTATGACCTGGATGGGGACGGACGTATCACCCGCCTGGAGATGCTGGAGATCATTGAGGTGCTGACGGCGAGAGACGTCACAAGTCAGAGCGGGGCTGGGGCATTCGGAGGGGTCGGGGTCAGAATAGGGGAGCAAGAGGGAAACTGAGGGGGGCAAGAAGAAGTCAGGTTTAGAGGTCAGAGAGTGGACCGCATGACTGGGGTGGTCAGAGAAGAGAAAGGCAGATTTGGAGAGGTCAGGGGTCAGAGAAGTGAGTTCAGAGGTCAGTGGTTTTAGATTAGAGGTCAGAGTAGTCAACAAAGTCACACAATCACAGAATGTTACAGTTTGAAGGCACCTGTGACCATCTTGTCCAACCCATACCTGAACAAGGAATTCCTACCATAACATACTTGACATGTGGTTTTTTACTCTCTGCTTGAAGCCTTCCAGTGGCAGGGAGCTCACTCTTTCTGAGGGCAGCCCATTATGATTTTAGACAACCCTAATTATTTGAAACTTTTCCCCTACATCAAGCCTGAATTTGTCTCTTTTCAACTTTTACTTATCGCTGCAGGTTCTGCCCTCTAAGGCCAAGAACAAGGCTAATCCCTTTCCCACGTGAAAAATGCTTGAAAGTGATAGGTATCACTTCCCCAAATCTTCTCTTCACCAGGCTACACATCCCCAGGTCCTTCGGCCAGTCTTTAGGTGGCATGACCCTGAAGCCCCAGGTCAGGGGGTCAGATATCAGAGTGGAGTAGTGAAGTTTGGGAATTGGAGGTCAGGATAAGTGATGAGTTCTGAGGTCAAGGGTCAAAAGTCAGCGTGGAACAGTGAAAAGGCTGGTCTCAGGGAATCCAAGGGGCTTGTCCAGGAGGCTGGGCCAGCAGGGAAGGAGGGGCTGATTCAGATGCCTTGAGCAGCATCTCCCCTCTTCCCTGAAAGGCCAGGGCTCACCGATCTCCTTCCTTCCCACCCAGGCTATCTACAAGATGGTAGGAACGGTCATCATGATGCGCATGAACCAAGATGGGCTGACCCCGCAGCAGCGTGTGGACAAGATCTTCACCAAGATGGATCAGGATAAGGATGACCAGATCACCCTAGAGGAGTTCAAGGAGGCTGCCAAGAGTGACCCATCCATTGTGCTTCTGCTACAATGTGACATGCAGAAGTAGGGGGAGCCCTGCCCCTGGGCCTCCCCCTCCCCAGGGCCTTCCAGGGTCTTAACCTCCTCTGTCCAGGGCATCCCTGTGTCCTACCCTGGGCTCCCCATTCCCAGGGCCTCCAGGGTCCTAACCCCTTCTGTCCAGGGCATCCCTGTGTCCTACCCTGGGCCTACCCATCCCTAGGACCTCCTGGGGTCCTAACCTCCTCTGTCCAGGGTCTCCCTGTATCCTACCTTGGGCTTCCCCAT